CGGGGAGGAAAGCAAAGGCGAGGGCACTGCGGCCACGGGTCTGCAACAGCTTGTTTTCATCACGTGGAAAATACACGGAGCTGTTAATGAAGCGCAGCCCTTAGCGGGGCCGAAATGCACGCTGCGCACAAACCCTGGCCTGGGGAAGAACCCAGATAGAGGTGATAATTAAGGGGGCTGCTCAGTTTGGGTCTCAAATTTAGCTCCGTTTCTCAGGTTCGAGATGCCTGCCTGCATGAATTGCGTCAGGTGCTGTGGCACATGGGACCCTGCTGCTGCCACCCAAACCCTTCGGCTGCCCTTCAGTGGCTCCAAAGTGTTGAGCTGGGGCAGAAATAATGGTGATAAAGCTGAGGCAAGGTTTGAATGGAGCAAATCTCTGAGGGGTTTTGGGGCTGGGGCTTGGCCAGACCCCTGTGGCACACAGCCAGGAGGGATGCTGGGGGGCAGCGTGCAGGCCCACCGAGCCCAGGGGAGCACTGGGATGCTTGGCACGATAATTAGTGTAAAGGAGCATCGGTTCAGTGCTGTCTGCCAGTGTTGGCATCTCCTTCCTCGCCACATTACAACACCGACCCTCATCAACTGAGCGGGCACGGCTGCTTTTGCTTTATTTCTTTTAAACCCCTTCAGATGATCGGGGAGGGGGATGCACACAAAAAGCCCTAACCCTCACACAACATATAATTGTCTGATCCTTTGATGTTCGCGATTCCTGGAACAAACATGCTGACTTCAGTAGAGATATTCAAGTAAAATCTTACTCAGAGGTTTTTCTGCCAAGTATAATAACCCAGGGGAAGAGGGATAAGAATCATTCCATAAGCAAAACTCTCGTTGCTTGACCTCAGTGTGTGCAGATCATAATTCAGGTTCTGGAAAAACAGAGAGTTTAGCTATTTTCCTTGGCAAATTTCAAAAAAATGTGCTGCAGCTAATTTCTGCAAGGCTGTGAAAGCGTTTCTAAAATAGGCATCAGGTTCAAACCACAAGATCAACCTAAACTGATATAAATCAATAAGTAACTCAGGAATATGTTTATTTTGGAAAGCGTCGGGCCTGGATATCACCTACTGCTTTAATGGATTTACCCGATGCTTAAGATCCCATCTTTGAATCACTGAAGCAAGAGAAGATATTTTTAAGGGAGTTGCATGCATGAGCCCTGACAAGGGGAAGTTGACAAAACTTCAGCAAATTCCTCCATGAGGATGCCCCTGCCTGATGCAAGCCTTTGATACGGAGGGGTCGCGGTACGGCTTAGACCCTTTCCACCGAGAGCAAATGTAGCTGCTCTGGCGATAACCACGGGTCTGTAAACCCACACCTTGCCGAGCATCGCTGCGTGGGTCTGCCCATCTCTCCTGCGGGGAAATGGGCTCCAGGGCCAGGCTCAGCTGGTGCAGGCTGGAGAGGGCTCTGCGTGCTCAGCCCTACCAGGCGTCTTCCCAAGGAGTCCATTGGGCTCTGCTTGCCTGGCTTTAGGAGATGATGCTGCCGTGTGTTGGTTAGGGTGATCTCTGAGCTCTGGTGGTGTCTCCTGCAGTCCTAGTGCTAGGGCAGTGCCACCCAGCAGCCCAGACCTGAAAGCAGGGCTTAAGAAAGGAAAAAATGGGAAAAAATCTGCCTGCTTTGGCTGGCAGAGAAGTGCTTATCTGCATTAGGTATTTCTCTGCTTGACATTTGTCTATGCCATTGAAGATGACCATAAGTTCATCTTTAAAATGCAAACAATCCCTTAAAGCAGAAGAAAAGGAGGTAAATAATGGTGTTTCTGAGTCTGGGGCTCCTCATGCTGGTCCCTCAGACCAAATCAAAGAGGAGATAATTATTAAACCTTGCACTGCTCTCACTCTGAGTTTCAGCATTTTACATGCTGGCTGGCAGGGGGAGGCTGTTTGTGGAAGCCTTTGGTGGGGGTGGCATTTCCAATGAGCCAGTTGTCATTTTTGTGTGAAATTACATATCCCAGCATCGGCTTTGGGGTTTGACTATCTCTCCCTAGAAGTGCGTGGACCTGTTATGTTTGGCTCTGGAAGCAGCTAAGAACTGCCAAATTTAGCATCATTTGCCTTCATTAAAAATGGCTTGTTTGTTCGGAGAATTTGCATTTTTTGTGATTTTTTTTTTTTCATTTTTTTCTTTGCATTGCGGGAGAAGCAATGCCACCAACTTGCAGATTATGCGTAGGCTCATTTTCAGCATTTTGTTGCTCTGTAATTATGGAAAATTGGAGGGGTTTCACTTTGCTTTTGTAACAGGTCAGATTCTTGATGGACACTTGGATAAACCTGGTCCATTTGGAGTTAGGGAGGCTTGGACAAGCCCCCAAAGGCTTAGGATCTAGCTGGAAGCATTTCCAAAGTATACAACCCTCCTGAGGTACAGAAACGAGCTGCCTCTAAGTTTTCCCTCCTGTGGATTTACAGCTCCTGTTGGATCTCCAGCCATCTGTAGAAGCACCTAGGGGTGTGCCAAGCCATGCTCACATATGTGTGCAGCACAGGGGCACCTCTGACCATCCCTGTCCAGGGGAAAAGCCTCTGCAGAAATCCCCTGAAGAGCAGGAGGGGAGGCATCACCACGGGCTGAGCCCTGCACCCTGGCACCACCGCCCTGGTGGGTTGCAGCCATGGGTGTGCTGGGGCAGGATTTGCTCCAGTGTGATTTATTTAAAGGTTTCAGAGCGTTGACTCATGCTGTGTTAATTCAGCTTCTGGGTTCCCCTGTTGATTCGTCCTGTGCTGAAGGGCACAGCCTACTGAGAGATATGGTGAATTTTCCATCTCCTGATGTTTCCAGACCAAGGCTGGGGGTATTTCTGGGAGGGATGGTTTAACCACAGGCAAAATACTGGGCTCCGTAACTGGGTACAAATTTTACCTAGCTTTTATATAGGGAGGTCAAAGGAGATGCTGAAAGAGCTCCTTCTGGAGCCCTTCTCCATCTCCTACCCTCTTGGAAATACAAGTTATTTGTCGTTAGCATTGGGTGCTTCTCCCCCTATAAATAACATTAACAAAAGCACTCACCATTGGTGTGGTTTTCAAAGATAAGTTTATCATTGCACTCCTGCTCATCCACGCAGCCGCAGATGTAGATTATCCCATCCTCGCTGGGCTGGTGGGTCATGATGCAGCGCGAGGTGTTGTAGTTGGGGACCATGAGGTTCTCGATGGGCCGGTGGGGGTTGTGGCAGAGCGTGCTGATCCTGATGCTCTCGTTGTCCTGTCTCCTGCGTGTGCCAAATGAACCGACAAAACGTTAGTCTAGCGGCTCAGCCTTCGTGCCAGCTGCGTGTCACCTGAAATCTGGTTTTAAGATCATTCGTTTTAAGCCAAGTAGCTTAAAATGAATGATCATTGCAGCAGCTCTGGTATCATTCTAATTATACGTGCTTTGGAAGGGATTTGTTAAAGCCCTTTATCTCTTCCAAATGGTGAAGAGAAATGTTTAGCATGTGCCAATAGTAGGATGTGAGCCAGAGACTCCTTGTTTCCAGTAGGTAATTCACCAATTCATAATCACACCTTGGATCAGGTAGTGCCACCCCTAAGGCTGAGCATGCTGCGCAGGATCTGGGGCAAAGTCCCTCCTTTGTCAGTGCCAGCTGCTAGGCCAGCAGGTTTTGGGGCTGTCTGGTCCTAAGGAAGCACTCCAAAATGAGGGTCCCACCTTGTATGTCACCTCTGCTGCAATACAAGTCGTAACATCGCTGTCTCAGGAGGGGCTGGGGGTCTCTGCTGCCCAAATTTCAACTTGGGCAGGGGAGAGGCAGGGGGGGGGGGGGCCGAAGTGCCCGCTTGCCAGTGCCTGCTTGCAGGGGGTGTGGGGGCCGAAGTGCCTGCTTGCCAGTGCCTGCTTGGCTCGTGCGTCCCTCCGGCTCCTCTCAGCCCATGGTGCAGGTGGAGCCCATAAGCGCCATCTCACTCCTGGCTCTCTTTCTGAGCCCTGTCCTTGCAGGACTCCTGCCTTGGTGACCAGCAGCTGTAGAGCCCTTTAGTTGCTGGTCGGGGCTATTTCTAGACATGGTATGACCTTTGGAGCTGCCAAGTTCTCATATGAAGGTGATACAACTGCTGGAGCATAGGGCTGTGTCTGCGTTTCTAGCAGGGCTTCTGACATCGAGCAACTACAAATACAGCCTGCAGCGATGGTGTCCTGGTCCTTGTTGAGTCTGGGGCAGAGGAGCACTGGGGCTTGGCACAGCTGTGGATGCAACGGCAAATCAGTCCTAGCTCCTCCTCTTTCCCATTTGTGGTCCTTGTTGAGTCTGGGGCAGAGGAGCGCTGGGGCTTGGCACAGCTGTGGATGCAATGGCAAATCAGTCCTAACTCCTCCTCTTTCCCATTTAGATAATGAACAGGGACCATTGCATTTAACTGTGCATAAGTATTCCGCAAGTGCAGTGAGGACAACTGAGATATTTCAAGGCTGAATACCAAGAAGCCTCAGTCATGAAACTCCAGTTACACGTGGAAGCACAGCTTGTAGCTCCGGGTCTAGCACCATACTTCCAGTGCCATAGAATCATAGAATGGTTTGGGTTGGAAAGGACCTTAAAGATCATCTAGTTCCCACCCCCCTGCCATGGGCAGGGACAATTTCCACTAGACCCGGTTGCTCCAAGCCTCGTGCCACCTGGCCTTGAACACCTCCAGGGATGGGGCATGTGCTTTGAGCTTTTTTAACCACTAGTGCTCGGTCGCCAGGTTAGGTCCTTCTCATGAGCCATGTTTTTTGCTCAGCAGCACCTAGGTTGGGCTCCCATGAAAGCCATGGAAATGTGTCACATGTAGAGCAGACGGATGGGTTTGGCTCTGGCTGTGGTCTGACTCCTCAAGCACAGGCACTCATTTTGCTGGAAAACTCCATCTCTCAATGGATCTGGGCAGCAGTGGCTCAACACAAGGGGCCTCGGTGAGAGGATCTGGCACAGCCGCATCCTGGCGCATGGGAGCTCCCTTACCCTGGTGTGCGGCAGAGCCGTCCTTGTTGGACTCAAGACTTCTCTACCTGCTCTTTCAGCTCACCCAGCACCATCCATGGCCACCACCAACAAAACGGTGATTAAGGTAAGAACAAACTGGGCAGAGCAGGAGAACATTAAAAACTTCAGCTGCTTTGCTGCCGGTTTTGTTGGTAGCTAGATTTTATTTAAAAAACAAACAGCAAAGTCTATTTTTAAGCTACCGTGGGGTGTGATCCTTTTGGAAGAAGCTGATTTTGAGAAAAATAAGATGATGTGGGGACAGAAATCACTCTCCGGGGGGATGTTTGCTGTCCCCCAAAGCAATGGGTGGAAGCTGGAGCCAGTCGGGGCAGTGCAGAGGCAGGACCCGGGGCCATGGGCTGGCAGATGGCTTTGCCCTTGCCAAGCTGGGTGAAGGAAAAGTTTTGGTGAGCAAGTGGTGGAGATCCTCAAAAACTGGGCTGCCCAGATGGTTTTAGGAATGTCTGAGCATGAACTGGGTTATGTCCCTTTGGAGGGCGGATGGTGGTGGCTAAAATGAGCTGGAGGCAGTTGTTGGTGTTGGGATGGAGCCTCTTGCCCTTGGAGAGCCAGAGCAGAGCTAACACGGGCTGATGGCATGGCATGCGAGATGGGTTGGGCACCTCGGGGCCGGATGGTTCTTACCCTGCCAGCACCACCGGGAAAATGCAGCCTGGGGTACAGTGCTTCTCCTGCACCTGCATTGTAGAGCCAATAGGTAATTAAAAGCTAATTAAGAGATGAGAGCAGAGCACCAGGGTTCGATCCTTGTTTCTGAAGCCTTCCCAGAGGAGGAAGGATAACCCAGCACTGGCTGGATTTGCAGGGCAGCCCTGGGGTGAGGACGAGCGATAGGGAATGACCAGTCCCGGGTGGGCTATGGGTGGCTGGAGAGCATTGTGTATACTCCTGGGGGGGTTTCAAGGAAATTACAACTGTTAACAGCTTTTGCAGGAACAGCCTTGGCTTCCTGACCTAGCGGTGCAAAGCGGGAGGGTGTAGGTATGGAGAGGTTTCACGATGCCTTCCGCATCTGTTGGGAAGCCAGAAATAAAAGCAGGGGGAAGAGCCTAAATTTGTCATCCTCTCCCTGTATCAGGTATGGAAAGTCCCCTGGCCTTAGTTCTCCCTCCGTTTTCTTGGGGTTCCTAGGTCACTTGTCAGAGGAGCTTCCAGCTGAAGAGTCCCAGGAGGGTGCAATCCCTCCTCCATGGGCTGCCCAGGTTGGGCATGCTGGAGGATGTGAACATGGGGCCAAAGCTGCTGCTGCAACTGCGATACCCATGCAGGCCAAGTTCAGATGATCCCTATACACCTTTGCAAGTGAGCAAGGGGCAGCGAGGCTGGCTTGGAGGAGCCCTGCCTGCAAGGATCTCAGTCTCAGGATGGGTCTTGGGATGGGGTGGGAGATTCTGGGAGGAGGCTGTGGGGCTGGCAGGTTATTTGTGACCGTGTAGCTGCCTCACCCTTGTGGTGCAAGGTGCAGCCCCATCTCATGCCATGGGATTGCTTTCCTGGGATGGAGATTTATGCCCCAGGGGTCTGGGTTTTTCCTATACATGTAGGCTGTCAATGGGAAAACCCAGCGAGATGCTGAATTGCTTGCCCGGGATTTAAGGTGGCTTCTCCATGTGTGCGCAGGGGAATTTGGAGCAGGGGGTGGATTTTGTTTGTTTGTTTGGGTGTCTTGTTGGTTTTGTGTTTTGGGTTTTTTTTAAGTCCATAATGTAACAATTATGTTGAGGCAAACTCCACCTCCTGAAAGCGGGGTATACGGCATTCACGCTAATTAGCAGGTTGAGATAAAGCCTAGCGATAAGTGCTTGGCTGGCTTTCGCTTTGGCAGCCAAATTAAAAGGGAAATTTAGAGGAGAAAATCACTCTGGGCAGACCCGAAATGGATGGTTTTTTAGCTTTGCTTTGCTCATGGGGACCAAAAAAGCTGGGGGAGGCACTCTTCCGGGCAAATGATGAGGCGTATGCTTGGCCTGAAGTGCAAGATTGTGTTTCCCTTCCAGGCATCTCCTGCAGAAGCAGAAAAGGGCTTTTCCCAGGGGATGGTAAAGAGGTGGGTTAAACCCCAGTTGTGCACCAGGTGAGACATCCATGCACTGGATGGGGACAGACCTTGGCTGCACCCCTGCAAGTGACACAGGGTTTCACCAGCCTGGTGCAGGAGGACATTGTGGGTTTTGGGGGTCAGGGCTGCTGGTGTTGCCCAGAGAGCTCAGCTCAGCCTCAGCCAAGCTACATTCAGGGCTTTATGGGGGTTTAGAGGTCCAGCAGCAAACTTGCCACACTTTGTGTCAGGCACTTAAATACTTAATTTATTTATAAAATAAACTGGTACTAATTATAGGGTGGACTAAATAATTTTTTTTACTGCAAATTGTAATTTTGATTATAATGGAGTCAAAGGGAGAGGAAGAGAAAGTCCTGAATTATTTTAATGGGCAATAATTCAAGTGCAGGCGTACACACATGCTTTCCCACGAGCTGCCACCTCGCAAACTCATTTTCCCTGTGTGCCCCCCCTGGACAAGGGAATTGCTACTTACCATATGGCCACACAGATCTCGTAGGGGTCCTCGCAGTAGGAGTTGAGGTTGCAGTTGCTGTAGCACACCTTCTCCTCACAGGCCGGTGGCGTGGAGTCGCACCACTTGCAGAGGTTGGTCTTCAGGCTGCGGCGGGCGCTGGCACAGCAGGCTGGGGAGCAAAGAGGTGGTGGAGGGTGAGCATGGTCATGCTTGCCCGGAATGGGTAAAAATAACCACTATTTTCAGCGATTTGCACCAGCAGTGGAATTCATTTATAGCTTTCATTTTGCTCCATTGCTTGGTCAAATGTGCTTTAGATGGAGTTATGCTGTCAGTGTGCAGGCAGGTCCCACCAGACCAGAGCTTTGTGGAGCCTGGGAAGCCGCAAAGAGCCACGTTTTCCCTCTGTGTTTCCTGTACAGTTTATCACCAAGGGGAAGTTTATTTCTTTCTCTGCAATCTAGGCTCAGATGAGCATCTCCCCTCATCCTGAGTGCATGCAGTGTTTGAAAAGGGACATCTCTGGGTCTCTGTATGCATGAAGAGTTGATTTATTCCCCTCCCTGGAGGGAGAAGGGTGCTGGGGAGGGATGCACAGTCAGGCTGGGGCAGCTGCCTCCTCATCCTCCTTCTGCCTATTCAACGAGCCCAAGCTGGGAAATGTTTGCCACCCGCTACCCAAGCATCTGCGCTTTTGTCAAGAAACGATCAGCTGAGATGTCCTGAGCTCTGTTCCCTCCAGAGGTCCATTGCCCACCATGCCCCAGCCTGGCACGAGATGGTCACCAGCCCCTGGAGCGCTGGATCTGGCCGCAGCAGCAGAAATAACTGCTGCCCGTGTGGAACTGCTCTGCCTGTATCTCACAGGCTTAAAATTATCTCTATTTTTATACAAAGGGTGAATGAACTATGCTCGGCTAAGGGATAAATCCCAGCTAAATTTGAACTTCCTGCTTTAAGGCTGCTAAATGTCTTTTTTTTAAAAGGAAAAAAAAAAAGAAGCCACTAAGTGGCTTATGTAGAAGTACGTATTTATAAATTTTTACTTAAATACACACCAGAGTGTTCAGGTAGGCACCTGAACTACAGCAGCTGATTTTTTGGTGGTTGGGGTCATCTGTGCTTCTCTGGCTGCTGCTCCCCCGAGCTGCCCGGCAGGGTTGGGAGCTCCCAGCTCCTGTGGCACTGGTGCCTGCCACAGCAAGCACGGGGGTTTGCCATCCCCAGCCATTAGTTCAAACAAGAAAAAAACTGCAAAATCTACAACTGGGGCTCAGAAAGCCTCAGACCCTGCAAGCAGGGCCCTGCTGATACAGGAGTTCACCCACGAGCACCCCGGGTCTGGGGTACCTGCAGGACCTCCTGCGGTCTCCGTGGTCACATCTGTGACGTGCCCGTGGCCAGCATACGAGCCTATGGTCCCTCTCCTTTTTAATGTATAAACTATCCCAAGAGCAAAAAGGGATTTTTAACTTCTCTGCTTCCCAAATCCAGGGCACACAGCCTGCTCCGACGGCACCTCGCGTGCCTGCTCCTCTCCCCTTGCTGGCCCAGACCCCCCTCCACGAGATGGCCGTAAAAGAGCTGCTGGAAGGCTCCCACACAGAAATAAACCATTTACAAGCTCCCATGGCCTCGTACAGAGGGCCAAGGTTAATGGCAGAGGGGAAACCTGGCTGCAGAAGAGAAGCCTGTTGCATCTGAAGGTTGGAAAGAGGAAATTTTGGTTTAAATGACCCATGTGAGGCTTAAAACGCAGCTCAGCAGGGATTGTGTCGTACGAGGCGGTGGGGAAGCCGGGAGTGGAGCGGGAGAGGATGCTGCCCACAGCCTCTCATTCAGCATTCCTCCCATCCATGAGGGTGCTCGGGCCCTGCTGAGGCACCTGGGCATGTTGTGGGTGACATCAACAGACCCAATGCCCCTCATCCATCCGAGGGTTAGCCACTGAAGTGGTGGCTTCAGCCGGGATTTGAAGTACTTGCAGCCAGCGTGAGGCAGCCTCACCTCCCTGCCTGGCTCTGCCAGGGCAGGACTTGCAGCATCCTGTGCAAAACTCTTCTCAAGGAGGAGAGTTTTGGAGGTGGATCAGAAATTAAGCCCAGCATTTGCGTGGGGCTCTCAATTTACAGTGACAGCCGCCGCACTCTACAAACTCCATTGGCACTGTTATGTGGGAACAGAGAATTGAAAGTAAATTGTTTTCTCCCCCCAGCCCCACTGCACCCGGGGCTGTGCTCTGGTGGTGTTGACCCTGTATTTGTGCTTTCACCCCCTCAGCTCAACCCATCCGTGCCCTGGCTTGTGCTGTACTTGCAGGATGCTCAGCACCATCATCCCAGGGATATTTGGGGACCCTGTGGAGGAGAAGCAAATGGAGAAATCAAGGCTGTAGATGTTGCTGATGTAGAAGAGCCACAGGGTTTGTTAGTTATGTGTTTATACCCACCAGGTATGTTATTTACTTATTTATATCAAGAGTTTGCTTGAGGTCTCAGAGCAAAACGTCAGCCTGGCGCGTGGTGGGGATCTTGACTTGGCAGTTGTTTGCACTGCAGAGCAGAGAAGCCAGGACAGATGAAAGAGTTAAATGTGGAAATGAGATCCAGAAATATAGTGGTAACTGGACAAAATTCTTTGGAGACAAATTGTTCTAAACTAGCTCAGGCTGCGATTCTGTTATCTGCTCTGCAAGAAAGGTCAGAGCAGGAAGATCTCTTTTTTTTTTTTTTTTTTTTTTTTCCCCCCCTTCCCTCCCTCCTTCTTCTCCTAGGAAGCTAAAAAGAAGAGTACAAAGCCCACTGCAAGTTTCTTCAGGACTTTGTGTCCTTGAGCCATTAGCTCGTAGGTACGATTTAACTGCCACATCACTCATCTTGGCCCTGATTAGACCCAGATGAACACTTTCAATATTAATACGCGGATGATTTAATAAAGCTGCACGAGCAGTAAAAGTAACAATACACTTCCATAAAGGGGTTCCAGATGTTGCCAAGGCAAATGCTAAACATCAAAATATAAACTTAAAAAAAAAAAAAAAAAGGCAGACAAAAAAAAAGCTGGATAAGCAAAACTTGGAACAAACTATAAACTAATTAAATGTGGGTTGAGTTTTCCAAAAATAAATTGAAGCCATAAGGATGTGAAGTGAGCCAATAAATAGTACAGTTAGTCAAAGTTATTGTGGAACAACAGTTGGAAAGATGGTTTGAAGTCACCGATAGGTGGGCTCACACTGAGCTTGGCTTCCCATCAATAGGAAGGCTTGTTCTCTTGCGCATGAGAAGGGGATCAAGTCTTCTGGTATCTATAACTGGTACCCCAGAGAGGTTACTGAGTGAACACGAGTCGATTTTCAAGTAGAGGAATAAAGGAAACTATGCCAAAAGTGCCTGAGACTCTCCTGCAAGAGCAGCAGGGGTGATACCACCACCCCAGGACATTGGGATATTTTTTCATGCATGCTGGATCAGCCCTCCAGCCTCCCGTTGCCCACAGGGCACCCACGCTCTCTGCTTGGCCACCTGTAAGGCCCATTGAAGCACCACCGCTCTAGTCAATAACCCATCCTCTTCCCCCATAAAAGAGTCACCTAAAACATCTCTCCAAGAGAATTTCATACTGGTCCCGTCACTGCAGCCATGGAAGCAGCCAGCTCCCAACAGACAAGCTTTCTGCTTGCTTTCCAGGTGCTCAGCTGCCCACAGGGACTGCAGCTGTAAGAACCCAGCGGGATAAAGAGGGCTCTAATTAGCTGGTCTCTAACAATGCAGCCCCAGGTAGCAGGTAGGTCATCTGCCACCTAACTTTGGCTCTGGTTTTCTGCACGCTGTGGTCCCGAGGGAGAGTGACTCGGTAAGGAGCAAGCCTGGGGTGCACAGAGGTGGAGGCACAGTGCGTTCATTACAGGGAAGGAGAAAGCGCTTCATAGCCAAAGCAGTGGCATGTGCAGGCAATTCATTTTCACTGCAGGGCAGAATGGGCAGTTTTAGTTCTCAAATATTCTCTCTGGTGTGCTGTTTTGTGACAACAAAACACCCAATGAGCTTAAGATGCTAAGGCACTTGCATCCCTCCAGCTCTG